TTAGAAGTGATTTTGTAATGTTCTCTGTACTTCCTCACTGAGGAAAGGAAAATGAAGATTGAGCACTAGATTGTTAAGAGTTTGTTAGGGTTAATTAGAATAATCAGATGAATATAAGAGGATAAAACAGTTAACATTCTCATAATAATAACCTCATTAGACATAGATTTGAATGCAGTTTTAAGAAATCACTGTAGAGGATATATACCCTTGATTGATTATCTTAGTTTCACTACTGAGTATGCAGTTGTAATATATTTGACTTTCAAAAATATTTTCAGCAACTGATTTATAATAAAATGCTGTATACATGTATGGCAATATTATAAGGATGATGGGCTATAATTAAAAATGCTATCAGCATGTTTAAAATGGCATAACTTTTTTTTTAATGGATTTTTACTCTTTTGCACTGGCTGGAGTGCTGTGGCACGATCTCAGCTCACTGCAATCTCTGCCTCCTGGGTTCAAGTGATTCTCCTGCCTCAGCCTCCCAAGTTGCCGGGGTTACAGGCACCTGCCACCATGCCTGGCTAATTTTTGTATTTTTAGTTGAGATGAGGTTTTGCCATGTTGGCCAGGCTGGTCTCAAACTCCTGACCTCAGGTGATCCGCCCACCTCAGGCTTGCAAAGTGCTGGGATTATAGGCATGAGCCACGGCACCTGGTCTGGTATAACTAATTTACCTGCATCATTAATCGAAGACTTCATTCAGGTGCCTGAAGTCATAAGATCAGATGATTTCATTTTCTTCACCTATTTTCATAGATAGAGCTAAACTTGTAGCAGTAACTGATGGCAGTATGTATTGGTTGCACTTTAAAAATTATGTCTCGTGGTTAAGTTCATAGCATTAATGGTTCTCTTTTGAATTTGGCTAGGCATGCAACTTCTATAGTTCAGATTCATGGAGCAGGAAAGGCACATTTCAGAGCCCTCAAATCTAGATAGGATATCCCTAAGTATGGTCTCATTTATCATGCTTCACTTGTAGGCCAGACAAGTCCCAAGCACAAAGGAAAGACTTCTTGAAGGCTGGCAGCCAAAACTGTTTTGGCTATATGTTATGATGCTTTTGGTGGATTCCAGTTCTGTGATGGGAGTTGAGAACGGAGCCAAATTAGAGGCCAGGTTGAGAACTTTGGAAGATAGAGGAATAAGAAAAATAAGTGGAACAGGAAAGGTGTTAGCAAAAACAGAAAAATGTGAACACAAAAGTCAAGACTTATGATCCTTCTGGTGACTCCACACTTCCAACCCGTTCTAAAAAATGCAAAATAGAACAGGTAGATAGAGAGGATGATATTACTGAAAAGAAAGCAAAGGAAGCCAAGATTAAAGTTGAAGAAGAGGTGGAAGAAGAAAAAGTGGTAGAAGAAACATCTGTGAAGAAGAAGAAGAAAAAGGGTAAAAAGAAAAACATTAAGGAAGAATCGCTTTCTGAGGAAGAACATGTACCAGCAAAACAATTCCTAGTCCAGAGAAAAAGAAGAAAAAGAAAAAAAAAGAGAGAGAACGAGGAGTAACAGAAAGGAATTACAGCTGTATCGCCTGGATGCATCATGCTTAAGATTCCATTGTGAGCATACCAGGGATGCAGTCTAATGTAATCAAGGGAAGGTTCAATGAAACAACAGTGTTTATTATCTGTAACTTCAAACCTAATTGTTTCTTGACATCAACTCTGTTAACCTTATGTCATCATTTCTTAGAGTCTTTTATATACAAATAAAATTTTCTTTGTATTTTAAAAAGTACTCAAAGCTGCTTATCTTTTTTTTTTTTTTTTTAGAATTTCAGTTAATTGAAATCAGACAAGACTCCTGATTTTGGTTATTAAAACAAATATTTCTAGTTGTTTTTCAACTTTTATACTTTTGTCTCCTTGCCTTTTAGTCTTCTTATTCCTTAACTTTAGGGAAAATTCTGGAGGTACACTTGTTTAGTTATAAGAATTTCTAATTGGAGGGAACTTTAGAAAAAACTTTCTGAATACCTCTTACACTTTTTTCCTGGTTATCTGCTTGTCATTGTTAGCTGTGAATAAATTAATCTCTACATTTATTAGGTTCTACTTTGAATGAGACGAATTCCTCTGATATTAGTTATTGTGTTTCTTATTGTCTCTTTTTGTAAAATACATTTTTTCTGCTTATTGCTTCCTAACAAAGTACCCAAAATTTACTGGCTTAAAACAACAACGTTTATTCTGTTCAGGAACCTGTGTTTTGGGAAAATCTTCGGCCAGGGAATCTCTGTTCCCGTCAGGTCCCTGGACACAGCTCAAAGCCTGGGGGACTGGAATCTTCTGCTTTGTGTACTACTAATCTGTCCAAGTCCTGAGCTTCCTCACAAGATCAGGGCTGGGTTCCAAGGGCAATGAGTCTGAGATAGGGAACCTCTTATAACCTATGCCGAAGTCGCATGCTGCTACCTGTACCACATTCTATTCATGAAAAATGAGTCACTGAGGTGGGCCCACGTTCTATTTTATCATGGGATGAATATTTTTCCTTTTATTTTTAGTTGACACAAAATTATACATATTTATGGCTACAGAGTGATATTTCAATAGATGTATACAATGTGTAAACTAATTAGCATATCCATAATCTCAAGCATTTATCATTTGTCTTGTGAACATTCAAAATCTTCTCTTTTTAGCTTTTGAAAGTACACAATAAATTATAGTTAACTTTATTCACCCTGTGGTGCTATAGAACACCAGAACGCATTCCTCCTAGCTAGCTCTAATTTGGTAGCCATCAACCCAACACCTCCTCCTTTCCCCGCCTCTCCTCCCTCCTGCTTTTCCCAGCCTCTAATACCCATGATTCTACTCTCTACTTCCATGAGCTCGGTTTTCTTTTTAGCACTTGCATATGAGTGAGGACCTGAGATGTTTGTCTTCCTGTGCCTGATCTATTTTATTTAACATAATGTTACTGACATGATTTCATTCTTTTTTTGTAATGGCTAATAGTATTCCATCCTATGTATACAACACATCTTTTTTTTTCCTGAGACAGAGTTTTACTCTTGTCACCCAGGCTGGAGTGCAGTGGCACAGTCTCAGCTCACTGCAACCTCTGCCTCCTGTGTTCAAGCAATTCTCCTTCCTCAGCCACCTGAGAATTTGAGACTACAGGTGTGGGCCACTATGCCTGGCTAATTTTTATATTTTTAGTAGAGATGGGATTTCACCATTTTGTTCAGTCTGGTCTCAAACTCCTGACCTCAGGTGATCCGCCCACCTTGGCTTCCAAAGTGCTGGCAGCACAGGCGTGAGCCACTGTACCTGACCACTACGACCTCCCTTCCTTCCTGTTTTTTTTTTAAACAATTCCCATTTTCATTTTACGTTCAAAGGGTAGATGTGCAGGTGTGTTACAAGGGTATACTGCATGATGTCAAGGTTTGGACTTCTGTTGATCTCATCACCCAAATTCTGATCATAGACCCAATAGGAAGTTCTTCAGCCCTGGCCCCCTTCTCTCCCTCCCTCCTTTTGGAGTCCTCAGTGTCTGTTTTCATCTTTATGTATCTCTATACACCACATTTTCTTTATCATTGTCTATTGATGGACATTTAGGTTGATTCCATATCTTAGCTATTGTGAATAGTACTGCAATAAACATGGAAATGCAGCTATCCCTTTGATATGCTGATTTCCTTTCTCCTGGATAAATACCCCGTAGTGGAATAGCTATATCATATGGCAGTAATATTTTTAGCTTTTTGAAAACTTCACATTTTTAAAAATAATGGCTGTACTACTTTACATCCATACCAACAATATCTAAGAGTTCCCTTTTCTCTGCACCCTTGCTGGCATTTGTTAATTTTTGTCTTTTGATACTGCCTTATTCTAGTTAGAATGGCTACTATCACTTGCTGGTTTTGATTTTGCATTTCTCTGATGATTAGTGATGTTGAACATTTTTTCCATATACTTTTGGCCATTGGTATGTCTTCTTATGAGAAATGTCTGTTTCAGGTTTTTGCCTACTTTTGAATTGGATTATTTATTCTTTTTCCTGTTGGGTTGAGTTCCTTGTATATTCTGGATATTAGTCTCTTGTCAATGAATAATTTGCAAATAGTTTCTCCCATTCTACAGATTGTCTCTTCACTGTTAATTCTGTTGCTGTGCAGCTTTTCAGTTTAATATTATCCCATTTGTCTATTTTTGTTTTCTTGCCTATGTGTTTGAAAATACCCATAAAAGCTTTGCCTAGACAAATGTCCTAAAGCATTTTCCCTCTCTTCTAGTAGATTTACAGTTTCAAGGTCTTAGTTTTTTATATCTTTAATCAATTTTGAGTTGACCTTAGTATATGATGTTAGGGGTCTAGTTTCATTCTTCTGCATATGGATATCCAATTTACTAGCACTATTTATTGAAGAAGATGTCCGTTCCCCAGTGTATGTTCTTAGCACCTTTATTTAAAATCAATTGGCTGTCCTAAGTACGTGAATTTTTTTCAAGGTTCTTTATTCTGTGGCCTTAACCCCAAGAATTATTACCCCTTTTAGAATGCAACTCAAATTAGCATAAAAAATTTGCAGCTTAGAAAAAGGCCTATGGCATTAGAATCTGTATTACTGGATTTATTAATTATAGTCTTATTTTAAAAGTCTTATTCTGGGAGCCGTTTTTTTACGATGCCTAGATAATAGGATGTCCCCAGAACTTTTTTGGAAATTTTAGGGCATTTTTATGGGGGAAGCAGTAAGAGACTTTCTACTACGTCTTAGAGCCGTGTAAGGAGGAAAGACATGAAAGAATCGTAGAAGAATATAAGTTGAAGATCAAGTTCAAATGTTGTGTAGCAAAGATGTCGAAAATCAGGAATATATTTTTGTAACTCCTGGTGGCTTTAACTTTGTTTTTTATTTTCTGAGTTCCACATTGGAAGAATATTTTATAGTTCAAATGACATTTTGTGGCAACTGAATTTATTTCAGAATTTGTTCTTGGTTTTATGTTAGGCTGTTCTCAGGCTACTTCCTTCATTATCACACTGTATTCTTGTTTTCATTCAGATTGATGATCTTACAGCAGAACTGGAGACTGCAGGTTCAGAATGTCTGCATCTGGATACAAAGAATCAAGTTCTTCAACAGGAGTTGTTATCTATGAAAACAATACAAAAGAAATGTGAAAAACTACAGAAGAATAAAGAGAAGTTGGAACAAGAAGTGGTAAACCTCAGAAGTCATCTAGAAAGGAATATGGTAGAGCGTGGTCAAGTCAAACAGTATAAGCAGGAGATTGAAGAGAGAGCAAGACAGGAAATAGTTCGAAAAATTAAAGGAAGTCAATCTCTTTTTACAGGTTAGTTTATATGTAGTGTGCCTTCATTCATTCACTGCAAATTGTATTTTGGACATGTACCCTGTATGTGTTTCTTCTACATCCCTTATAGCAGTTTGTTCTATAGATTTCTAGAAGGAAAACGGCATCTGTTTCTCCCTTTAGATATTTCAGTTCCCATCATTATTATAACTAAATTAATCATTCAGGATAATGATTCTCATTAGAGAATTATTTGGCTATTAAGACCAGCTGGCATAAAACAGAACCATCAGGAAAAGAAAAAATTGTGATTTAGAAATTATACCATACTCTTCCATTGTTCTTAAATTATGTTGTTCACTTTTTGAAATTTTTAATTAATTTCATTATTATTTATATTATCAGAGTTCATGAGTACAAATGTTTATTACTCAGCCTCCCGGATAGCTGGGACTGCAGATGCATGTCATAATGCCTGGCGGATTTTTTAATTCTTATTTTTGGTAGAAACGGAGTCTTGCTTTGTTGCTCAGGCTGGTCTTGAATTCTTGGCTTCAAGTGATCCTGTTGCTTAGGTCTCCCAAAGTGCTAAAATTACAGGCATGAGCCTACATGTTAGCTCTTAGAGACATGGAATGAGAATAGGGAGAAATCTTAGTGATAAGCCAGTACCGTTTCTTATTTTACAGATGAAGAGAAGACTTAGGGAAAGGTGAAACAGCAGGGCCTAAGCCATAGAGCTAGTCAGGAAGGCTCAGGATCACACTCCAAATTCCTTTACTTGTACTCCAGGTGATTCCATAACCTTGTGCTCTAGCAGGTAGAACTACTGTAAGAGATCCAAGACCTTGGCCTTTTTTCTCAACATATATATTTATGTGCACTGCATTTATCCCTAAGTTAGAACATGCAGTATTCTACTTAACACACATCTAGTTACTAAGCCCTAAGTTCCTATATGTTCCATACAGATTTGCTTTAATTTACTTTGCCAAGTTTATTTATAAAATGGAATATCACATCAGAAATTGTAAGCATATTCAAGTCTTCCCACAAACATTGTATTTTAACACAAAAATAATTTTTATGCAATTTGCATTAGAAATATATACAAATTTGTACTCGTTTTCTTTCTTAGGTTTTCCTGTTACCAATTATCATTTTATTTTCTACATAACATTTCCCCCATCATTAGACATCTGGGTTGCCAGTCAGCCTTTATTGTTTTGATTACTTCCTCAAGGATCAAAGTGCTTCTCTAGTAGAAACTCACTTTCATTTCTTTGGAAGGTGTATTTGGGTTCCTTTTTCAAGTAGAGCCCTGGAGTGTCCTCTTATCTCTTTGACCAATGAGGATTGACACAGATCTTTCTGTTTTTGTAGTTTGACTTAAAAACAGAGCGGCCTTAGACACCGAGGAGGTGGCCTTGGTCTTACTCAGGTTATATATCTTTAAAACATATGCTTTTAATTTTTATTAGGCACAAGCAGCATCTCAAGAAAACTTAGAACAGTTAAGAGAGAACAGTTTTGCTTCAATGAAAAGTCAAATGGAACTCAGAATTAACGATCTGGAATCAGAACTCTCCAAAATGAAAACTTTTCAAGAAGACGTTAATAAAACCGAACTGGAAAAATACAAACAACTCTATCTGGAAGAATTAAAAGTTAGAAAATCCTTGTCAAATAAACTAAACAAGTAAGTCAAAATACAGAATCATAGGAAATAAATTAAGCAATTTGCCTTGAAAGCATAATTCTTAGTGAGACAGGTTCATGAGATTAATGGTAAGTGAAAGCTCACTAGGTAATACAATTTTGGAAAGTGATGTTAGTAAACTAACTTACCTTTAAAATATAAGATAGTTTATGTCTTTCCCCTGTTTTTTAAATGTTATATGGCTTTTCCATTCATATTCTCATGTAGTTAACTAGATCTGTCTTCATGCTTTGTGCTTTTGAAACTTTGTTAGACATTGATATTGTCATCAAATTGTTTGTAAGCATTACCATAAATAGAATTATTAATGAGTTGAGCTGTTTTTTTTTTTGAAAATTACAACTTAAACCAGAAAGGTCAAGTATTACTACTCTGCACATGCTAGCACTCCATCAATTAACTTTCCTTGATATCTGGTGTTATCACTAGAAGGCACTGTAAACAGTCTAGCCTGTATAGTTTTTCTATGACATGAAGGCATGCTAGTGAGATAGGGAATGATTAACACAGGGATGAAGGGAAGTATAATTCATAAAGTGGTTAAAAATAACACCTTGGTCAGCCTTAGGGAGTGTGTGGGCAGGCCCTGGCCCTGATGCCTTGGGAACAATGTTAGAAGCTAACTACCTTTGAGGCTCTTTAGTTCTTTTTGATCACCAACTCAGCTGTCCCCTAGAATTTGTTGCTCTGAATTATTTCTTGGTGCCAGATGCCTAATATTTTTCCAGATAATGAGTGAAATAAATGTAAAAGGGAAAGGGTGGTGAAAGCAAATGTTTCAACATGTCTTGAGGAAGTTTTTTTTTTAAATCTCTAAAGTGGTTTACTAAATACAAGTATTTTTAGCTGGTTTTTCTTTGTTCTTAGTTTTGTTAATTGTATGTACTTAAGGAGTACATGATATTTTTGATATATTTGTACATAGTGAAATGGTTATTAAAGTCAAGCAAATTAACATATTCATCATCTCACATATTTGCCCTTTAATGACAAGTATTTCTAATGGCATCCTCAGGAATCTTAGCAGTGGAGCTGTTCCAGAAGGCAGCAGGTGTTACCTGTGAAGCCATACATCACTGATAGCCATTTCCTCCCTTCCTTACTTTGCTTGAATTACTTGTTTGTTGGGAACTACCCTAGAAACATATGTGCTTCTTTAGAACAATCTAAAAATTGCAATTGCATATGGTAGGCATGCTCTGACACATTTTCAGTGTTATAATACTATTTAGTGGGAAATTTCATTTACTCTTATGATAACTTTTTAAAATATGCAAATTTCTTAGGAATCATTTAGGGAAAAGTTAAATACTAAGCATGTGTCTTCTGCAATCTTCACAGAACTAATGAGAGGCTAGCAGAGGTCAACACCAAACTTCTTATGGAAAAACAGCAGACCAGATCTTTATTCACCACTCTCACTACCAGGCCAGTCCTGGTGTCACCTTGTGTTGGAAATCTTAATAATAGTTTAGATTTGAACAGAAAACTTATTCCAAGAGAAAACGTAGTGATCCCTACCTCAAATCCACGGACTTCAAATAATAGCACGGAGAAATACTTGACCAAGGTTAGTTATGTTGTCTTTTTCCCTTTGGGTTTCAGATTTCTCATATAATTGTTTTTTGTTTTATTTTTGTTTTTTTTTTTTTTTTGAGACAGGGTAATGTTGGACTTCAAGCTACCTCCACCATCTGAAACATAGTTCCCACCTGGAAATAAACAGAAAGGCCACAGAGAAAGGAGGAGCATTTTATAAAACATAGTTTATTTATTTTACTTCTAGTAGCTCTTGATTTTGTATTATGCATTCATTTTTTAGCATAAGAGGTTAGTAATTTACTAAGCTTTTTTATTTCCTCTAGCAGTGTTCAGTTTCTCCTTAGCTATTGCTTTATACATTTCAAAAACCATGGATGGGACCATGTCTACCTCAACAGGACAATTATTAATGTCGCCAAGACATTTTTCTCTCCTCTTCCCTTCCGTAGTCTGCATCAGTCACTGTGTTAAGTTATTTAACTGGAGACAATAATTCTAAATTTGTATTAAGGGAAATAGGAGGAAAATGTGTGATTTAATGGGAAAGTAGGAATAAAATAAGAGACATTTTCAAAGTTATTTAATATGTGCCAGTTTTCACTTTGAATATAGGTAAAACCATCCCAGCTTCCCACCAGCCAGGACAAAACCAGAGTTGTCAACACAGAAGACCCTTTTCCTAAGCTTCCGGGTGTCCCTCCTAGAGCAACTCCCTCCTGGGTTTTGGGTCTTCCCCCTTTCCCTTTGAGCCTTCATGTCTGGCCTGGTGTCCTTTTATCAAAGGTAGTTGCCCTCAGCTGTCATTTATGTGGTAAAATATTCAAGGGTTGGCCAGGCACAGTAGCTCACACCTGTAATCCCAGCACTTTGGGAGGCTGAGGCAGGTGGATCATGAGGTTAGGAGTTCAAGACCAGCCTGTCCAGTATGGTGAAACCCTGTCTCTACTAAAAAATACAAAATTTAGCCAGGTGTGGTGGCACATGCCCTAGTCCCAGCTACTCTGGAGGCTGAGGCAGGAGAATTGCTTGAACCCAGGAGGTGGAGGTTGCAGTGAGCCGAGATTGCACCACTGCACTCCAATCTGGGCAACAAAGTGAGACTCCATCTAAAAAAAAAAAAAAAAAAAAAAAGATATATATATATATATTTCAAGTGTTAATGAAGGCTGGAAGAGAATTTATGTAGTGGGAGGCCACTCCAGGGCTGGAATAGAGGCAGCAACTTCTTCCAGGTACCCTTTAAGTGTTAGGGGGAAAAATAACCTCTACTTAGATTTGTTATGCAAGAAGCATTCTCTTTCTAGAGAGTTTTCTTCAGCATAAGGTAAGCAATTTGTTAAGAGTATGTCATTTTTATCTAAGCAAAATGTACATGTTATGAAAGTATTTGTAAATAGGGTATAAAGAAATAATAAAATTTCTACACATAGGAAGTAAATATTTAGGAAAAGAACTACATTACATTAGTAGTTCTTTAATACAAGTCATATAAAAATGTATATTTTATGTTGTGTTTATTAATGAATAGCAATATAAGATTAGTTCAAAAAAGGCTTCTCCCTTTATTTGGTATTGAGTTATTACTTTTATAGGACCTACTAATGCTGTTGTCACATTAAGGCCTGTCTATAATGTTATTGTCACAGAAATATATGGAAAACAGTCTTACAAAATATTGGGAAACCTGTTAGTCAAAAGTGTTTATCTTCATGCCTAACATTTTTAAAGGCATTAGATATCATATTGTTATCATATAGATATCATATTAGATATCATTATTATATCAATATCATATTATCACCACAAAGTACCTATTGTGCTCGCTATATAGTCTGCTATTTCCTACCATGTTCTGGGTATTTAGTGAGAGAATACCTATTATAAAAAAGATTTAAATAAGAATGCTCTAAATGGGACATTTGCAATATATTCAGAAATATTCCCACACATTTTGTAATTAAGTGTATAAATATAATTAGTCATGTTTAAAAAATTGGTACTAATATCTGAAATCAAAATTACAATTAAAGAACTATGTATTTTTTGTTTATAATTCAAAGTTGTGAGTCAAAGAAACTAAGCTTGAAAACTAGCTCTAACTTACATTTATCATTTTACAGCATATCTTCTGAAATCTTTGTGTTTACATGAATAAAGAAAGTTATATATAGGTAGCATAATATTTATTTTACACTTTTTTTATCAGTAGAATTTTCACATGACATATAACAGTATCACTTTCTTCCTGTATATATTGATGATTCTGTACCAAAAATCAGCATAGAACATACTTTAAAATTTTAATTTTCTAAAAGTAGAGAACGGAAAAATTTTTTGTTTGTTATTTTGGAGATGGAGTCTTGCTCTGTCGCTCAGGCTGGAGTGCAGTGGTGCAATCTCAGCTCACTGCAACCTCCCCCTCCTGGGTTCAAGCAATTCTCCTGCCTCAGCCTCCTGAGTAGCTGGGATTACAGGTGCATGCCGTCGCACCTGGCTAATTTTTTTTGTATTTTAGTACAGATGGGGGTTTCACTGTGTGCCCAGCTTGGTATTGAACTCCTGACCTCAGTCTGCCTGCCTTGGTCTCCCAAAGTGCTATGATTATAGGCGTGAGCCACTGTGCCTGGCTGGAAAGTTTATTTTAAGGAAAAATCCATTAAAGGGAAAAAACTGATTAGGCTTTATAAGGTCAGAGTTTTGGTAAGAATTACCTTCATTTGCTAAGAATGCATTCATTGCAAACTATGACTTCAGTTGTTTTACCTTTGTACTACTAAGAGAAAACATCACCTTTCTGAAATGATGTATATGCAATAGACAATATTAATTGTACTTCTTATCCAACAACATTACACATTTAAAAATCCAAACTTAAAACAAGTAGGAATTTTATGTGATTATTTTGATATTTAAGCAATCAATTGTAGTCTTTAAGAGTATTACAGGCCATATTTTGTAAGTGATATATCATTTCCATGATAATGTCCCTTGTCTAACTTAAACATTATAAATAACATTTCATTTATTTCAGATGCAACAGGAGCTGGAAAAAAATATAACTAGAGAACTTAAAGAAGGTATGTTGCCAAAATTCATGAATTAAATTTAGATTAATTGATTTCTGAAATAAACTGTAAATGCAAAGGGTGAGTGGCATCCCTTTCCATTGTTTGGCTAATAGATACTACATTAAATATTCTTTCTTACACACATCTAATGAAAGAAGTGAAAACATAAACATTTATAGTGAAGAGTATACTTATTATATAATGTCTCATTAATTCATCATGTTCCATAGCTTTACAAACATCTCAGGAAGTCTTTGCATCTCTTTTTTTTTTTTTGGCTCTGCACTTTGTTCTGCCATCCCCATAGAACTGTCAACCAGCATGTGGAAATTATTCTCAGAAAACAGAGGCATCATCAACTTCTCAGGGTTATGGTAGTGATTTAAGGCCTAAAGACCCCAGACTCATCAAGTAATACTTAGTCTGAATTATAGTTCATAAGCAGTCACTTGACAGGCAACATTTTAAATCTCCAGCCATTTACTTTGTCATTGGTTTCCATTTGCCCTCAGGAGAAGTTCCAAATTCCTTAGCATGGAATAAAAACACTCACATCAATGTGGTCCCTGTCACCTTATTCAACCTTGTTTCTCACCCCTTGCTATTCTCCGGCCCTCTTTGCTCTGGTGTCCAGCCACCCTAGACCACGTGGAATTCCACAGCCATCTTCCTTAGCTCCAGCTCTGGGCATTTGCTTCTTCCTTCTATCTGGCCCATGTTTTCCTTGTCCTTCAGGTATCAGTCTACATATTGCCTCCATCAAAAAGCCCACAGTATTGACTCAACTGGGATAGGTGTCCCATCTGTGTGTTAGTGCCCTGTCTTATGCCTGTCGTGGTGTCTGTGACTCTGTATGGAAATTGTATGTTTGTTTCTTCAGATTATAGCATATGTTTGTTAGAGGTGGACCCTATTATCTTCATCTTGTAATTCCAGTTCTTACTTTGCACATGGTTGTTGAATAAATGAATGAAGAGTGAGAGAGCCAGAAGCTCTGATAGTTAACCACAAGGATAATTAATTCAATGTGCAACCATAGACAAATTAATAGTAATCTTATATATTAGTTATATATACAGATTTTTCTTTATTAATACTGACAAAATTCTTTATTAATACTGACTTCCACTTAGTTAACTGTGCAGTCTTTTAGGTAATGAGTATAATTCCTTCTTTTTCATTCTAGCTGCTGCGAATTGGAATCTGGATCAGTGCCTTCTCCTCTAGGATCTACTGATGAGTCAAATCTAAATCAAGATCTAGTTTGGAAAGCATCAAGAGAGGATGTACAGGTTTTAAAGAAAAATTATATGATCTGAAGGATAAAATTTTGTTACTGGGCTGTTTATGTGACATTTTAATTGTTTCTCATTAGATATTAATATATGACATATGAAAATCTTTATTAAAGGGAAATATTTTTATATTGTATGTGTCTGATCAAAATTTATGTAGTATTTTAAACAATGTTACTTGGCTTCTTTAACCTTTAAGTGGATTTTGCCAGTGAAAACCAGGAATATTGAGTTTTACATACACAAACTGCCCAAATGTCAGCTGTTTAAAGAGCCAAATCACGAAGTTGTCATTAATACTTTATAGTGTGCAGTTAATTGATGACTTCTTTGTACTTTATAATTTTTATCACTCTGTGGAGCGGTAGAATTGGACTTAGACGTCATTTTGTTGTGTAAGAACTGTGGTCATTGTTCATGTGTGGATGTATTACAATTGTTACGGTGCCATCAAATTTACATAATTTTAATTTTCAACACTGATTTATGTAGATCTTTTTTCAGGGAGAATGAAATTTGCCCAATTCACCATTTCTGTTTATTTATTTTTGATTAACCTTTTGGAAATAGCCTTCAATTTTGAGATAATTTCCAAGTTTTAGTACAAGGACTTTCCTCCCAGAACTATTTGAGAGTAAATTGCTGACATTATGCCATCACCCCTGATTACTTTAGTGGGTATTCTTGCAAGTCAGGACAGTCTAAGTCTATATAACTACAGTGCAAATCTTGCATTCAGAAAGTCAACATTAATACATTCTAGTTTTGTTACTTCTCCGTAATGTCCTTTATAGCAAAAGGATCCGATTCCAGTCCACGGCTTGTATTTAGTTGTTGTGTCTCTTAGATTCTTTCAGTCTGGAACAGTTCCTCAGTCTTTTGTTGACATTCGTGACCTTGAGTATTTTGAACAGTAAAGTCCAGTAATGTAGAATGTCCCTCAGTTGGGTTTCATGGTGATTAGATTTAGGTTGTATGATTTTTTTGGCAGGAGTATCACAGAAGTGACCCAGTGATCTCATTGCATGTTACCTGTGACCATATAGTTTTGATTTACCCTGTTACTGGCGATGTTAGCATTGATCACTAACGGTGGTATCTGCTGAATTTCTCCTCTCTAATGTTATTTTTTCACATTGTGGATAATTAGTATTTTATGGGAGGTAATTTGAGACTATGTACATCTCTGTTCCTCATCAAACCCTCAATTTATTCATTCACTTGTATCAATATAGATTCATGATCTATTTTATTCAATGGGTTATAGTTCATAATCATTATGAAAAAAAGTTCTATTTTGACAATTTCAGACTTACAGAAAAATAAGAGGAAGTACAAAGAATTTTTGGATATTATTCCCCAAATATTAACATTTTACTACATTTACTTTATCCTTTCTCCCCCTTCTCCTCCTCTCTTTCTAGATAAATATGAATACAGTTACATAATACAGATTTTTTTCTGAATTGTTTGTAGGTTGCAGACATGATGCCTCTTTATTTCTAAATAATGTGTATTTCCTAAATGCAAGGAATTAGCTTACATAACTATAGTATAATATTCAAAATCAGGATATTAACATTGTCTCAATATTAATATGTAATCTATAGACCTTATGCAGATTTTGCCAGTTGTCTCCAAAATATCCTTAGTAGCCAAGGCAAATTCAAGATGGGGGATTTTCATTATGTATGACGTGTTGGTCCAATTGTCGCGCTTCTTTAGTCTCCTTTATTCTGAGACGTTTCCTTGATTGTCGTGACATTTATGTTTTTGGAGAGTATAGGTCAGCTATTTTGTAGGGTTTCTCTCCATTTTTGTTTGTATGATATTTCCTCATGATTAGCTTCAGGTTATGCCATTCAGGCAGGGCTGTCACACAGGTTCTTTCCAATGCAGCATCTGAAGTCATCTGCTGTCACTTGCTTCTATTACTCGCCTATGTTGACTTTGATTATTTGGTTTGTTCAAAGCTCATCTTTGCTCTGGAATAGGGAAATGTGACTTTTATACTATTCTTGTTGTTATTATTTTGAGTGGAGTCTTGCTCTATTGCTCAGGCTGGAGTGCAGTGATGCCGTCATCTTGGCTCGCTGCAACCTCTGCCTCCCCTGTTCAAGCGATTCTCCTGCCTCAGCCTCCCAAGTAGCTGGGATGACAGGCCCGCGCCACCACGCCAGGCTAATTTTGTTATTTTTAGTAGAGACAGGGTTTTACCGTGTTGACCAGGCTAGTCTCGAACTTCTGACCTCAAGTGATCTGCCTCGGCCTTCCAAGTGCTGAGATTATTGGTGTGAACCACCCTGCCCGGCCCCCCCCCCACCTTTTTTTTTTTTAGACAGGATCTTGCTGTGCCACCTAGGATGGAGTGTAGTGGTGTGAGCTCAACTCACTTCAACCTATGAGCCTGGGGCTCAGTGATCCTCATGCCTCAGCCTCCTGAGTAGCTGGGATGACAAGCACGTGACACCACACCCAGCTAATTTTTGTATTTTTCATAGAAATGGTTTTTTGGCATGTTGCTCAGGCTGGTCTCCAACTCCTGGGCTCAAGTGATCTGCCCACTTCAGCCTCCCAAAGGGCTAGAATTTCAGGTGTGAGCTACCTCACCAGGACCGCTTACCTTTTCTCAACTGCATGGAAGTTGGCTCGTTCACCGGGTATAAAATGAGCTCTGTGGCCTCTATTTATAACCTGTGTCCCAGGTTGTGATGAGATCAAATGAGATACATATGTGAGTTCTGAAAAGAAAAATCACCAGTGTGTGCTATTGGTAGAAACCGGAACACCAGATTTGGCTAAAGTCTAATAGAGGCATAGCCCTTGCCCTGCCAATACTGGAATAGGCAATAATTGATATTTATATAATGAAACATCCCCAGGCAGCTGGAGTGAATCCCTCTGTTTTAATAATTATCATTCCAATTTACATTTCATCAGGGTTCCAGTTTATTTCTTCCTCTGCCTAATAGCCTCTTACTTCTGAAGATTAAATTTGGAATTTTTCTTTCTAATAAAGTTCCTTCTGATTTCGTTTTTATTTGCTTTAGTTTATTTACTTAGCATGATAAGCTAATTAACTGGTGATGTTCTTTAAAAAAAAATTCTGAACAGGCGGCTTGGGTGTTGGTGACATTTTTATATGCTTTCCTTCAATTGGCATTATAGAAATAATGAAAATAATAATCGCTGAAAGTGCATTGCATGTAGAGATTGTCAGCCTTGAGAAGATAATGAGAACATGAAAGAAATAGAACTTTTCAAGGCCTGCAGTGGTTTCCAATAAAAAGTTCAATAAATATCAAAATATAACTGTTTTCACCACTGGCTGATGGAAAAATGAAAGGGTGAAAGAAGTGAAAAATTGCTGAAGTGAAGCACCCGCCTGTCTTCGCTGGGTGATGTGCTGTTGTCACAGCTATTTAAGGTTGTTCTGAATCAGACACAAGAATCTTCAACAGAATTTACAGTCAACTGAGAGATTATGAACTAGATCAGTAACTACATCATAATTATTAGGTATGATTTTAAGTAGATTTAAATGAATCCTCATTAATCTATTGGGTTGAAAAATGTTATGGAGGATATCATTTCAATTTACCTATTTTAAAAGGTATTTTTCCTCCATCACCCTGGGGATGAATGTAGGACATTAATGGGGAAAATAGAAAATGCACATTTTCAGCGTAACCCTTTTTTCTATTTTTAAGACAGGGCCTTTATCTATCACCCAGGCTGGAGTGCAGTGGCACGATCACAGTTCACTGCAGCCTTGAAATCGTGGGCACAAGCAATTCAAACACCTCAGGCTTTCAAGTACCTAGGAGCACAGGTGTACCCCACCAGGCTGGGCTAATTTTTCTATTTCTAGTAGATATGAGCTCTCACTATGTCACCTAGGCTGGTCTGGAACTCTGGAGCTCAAGCAATTCTCCTGCATTCGGCCTCCCAAGCTGCTGGGATTACAGGTATGAGCCACCACATCCAGCCTATTTTCTGTTTTTAAAAGAACAGTTACTGGAACAATGCAAATGGTTGAGGACATGGGCTTATGGGGTCAGCTGGGTGGAATGTGTGTCAGCCGCTTGCTGGCCTCACCTTTCATGTTTCAGCACGTGTCTGGGCCTCTTGGAGAACAGCACTGACAGAATGTGCAGCCTGGGGCATCTGTCCATGGGGCTTGGGTGGGGCGGGTGCCTTTCTAGGTCCTGAGAGGGAGGAATTGAGAAGAGAAGAGTGAGCAAAGCATTTTCTACATTCTTGCAAGTTAATCAGAAAATACAAACGAGTTTACATATCTAAAGCAAAGAAAGATACTTACTGGCTACTTCTTTAAAAAAAAAAATAAAAACAAAGTAAAGAAAGCAAGTCACAGGCACGGCATGGTACACAAGACCTTATGAAAAATCTGAAGTTCTGTGACAAAACTTTATATGAGATTCATCAAAAGGTTCAGGAAAGTGAATATGGTATTTTATAAACCCCACTGAGGAGGGTCTGGATTAATTGGGTTCGTGGAGAGGAATAGTAAGTTTTACTTTAGAAAACCTTTTCATAATTGAAGAATAAACCTTGAAAACCTATTTACCTTCAAAATAATTATATTGTTTTCCTTGAAATGTAGTTTTCTAGTTTCATACCACACTGAGTACAGGAACAACTTTTGAACATTGTCCTCAAAAATGAGTACGTCGGACAGAGACAATAAACAGAGATTTGGGCACAAGGTGGGGTTTTCTGAAATAATCTGTTATTAGATGTGTTCTCCGCCAAAGTCCTGGTATTGCGATTTTTTTCTCTTGCCTTTTAATTTGTCCATTTGAAACAAAGCTTGACTCATGGAAGGTTTACAGCTGCGAGAGAATCAGATAGAAGAAACTCTATGTTGATTTCTGGGGCTCCTTAGAAAGCATCCCGCACAGGACGGCCACCTCTCCGCACTCGGTCTGTTTCTCTAGCAACTGAACTGCTGCCCAGCCCAGGCCAGAAGGTCTTCAGCTCCTCTCCCTGTGAACGCAGAGACTGCTTTAGCCATGCTCAGCACCACTGTTCTGCCTGTTTATTTCTTAAACTAGTTTTTCAGTAATTTGAGAAACCCTTAATCTACGTGACAACTCAAAGAATGAGTTCAGGAGATTAGAAAATTAAAAAAAAAAAAGGAAAGTTTGGCTGCGCTCTGGTGGTCATTCCCCTAATCTCAGCCCTAGGGAGCTGAGGTGGGGGATCACTTGAGGTCAGGAGTTGGAGAACAGAGTGGCTAATTTGGTGAAACCCCATCACTGCTAAAAATAAAGAAATTAAAGACCTACAACTATAATCCCAGCAGCTCGGAAGGCTGAAGCAGGAGAATTGCATGAACATGGAAAGCAAGGGTTGTAGTGAGCTGAGATCATGACACAGCACCCCAGCCTGGGTGACAGAGTGAGACTCAGTCTTGGGAAAAATAAAAAATAAAGAATGATATAATGGCCTTGGAAACTCAGGGGGAAACTATGGGAAGTGAGAGAAAGATCAGAGACTACAAATTGGATTCTGTGTGTACTGCTTGGGTGAGATGCACTAAAACCTCACAAATCAACAGTAAGAAGTTAGTCAAGTAACTAGATACTACCTGTTGTTTGCCAAAATATATCAAAAGAAACATTAAAAAATTTTTTTGAAAACTGTGAAAATTAAGTACAGTATTTTCAGGTTACAAAGGCACATCTATCATGAGGCTTAATTATTTTAATGTTAAAAGAAATGAAGAGAACAAAGTTCAAACAGAGAAGCAGTCAGACATTTCCTCTACAGCAATGAAATCTGTAGCATACATTTCATATTCTGAAACAGCTTTCAGCCAGCCTGTGGGAAGAAGAAGAGGGCCCAGAACTGGGCATTGGGATAGGAAGGAGGAAAGAAAACTATCTGGACAAAGAAGGGAAAGAGAAGGGGTAGGGACTTGAGGCAGAGCCAGTCCTCCTGCTTGGGACATGGGCCTAGAAAGTTAACTAGGGCAGAGGGAGGAGCCCCAGGCTGTGGATGTCTCTTGGGGGAACTTTACGTCACTAGGGCAAGAGGAGGTCCTGAGTCCTAGGGGTATCCATAGCCTCCCTACCTTTGGTTGTCTTCTGGTCGACAATATGCTGCAAGTCACGACCCTCACTGGCTCCCAAATCCAACTGGGCAGGCTCCAAAGCAGTGGGGTCTGGTGCTACTGTCACTTCCACGTCGTAGATCTCAGAGCTGCAGGTCTTCTCCTTCATGTCTCCCTGAGCTGGCTCCGGTTGGGCCTGGCATTGGGGTATGGAGTGTTCCAGGCCCTTCTGCTGCTTTCTGCTGGGGTCTGTGCCTTTGCTGACTGTCCACTCATAGATGTCTGAGCCCAGGAGGGCTCCACAGAATTCCTGTGGGTGCTCTGCCTGGGCTTGACTTTGGTGCACATGTGACAGCTCAGTGTGGTCTCCATGAGGCAACTCTGATTTTCTTGGGTGCTGGGCCTCTGCCTACCCATAGGTCTGCAGAGCTCCACACCTACTGACTCTTCCTGGCAAGGCACAGCTGGCCTGGACAGCCCTGGAGCATGGGGCTGTACCCTCCTTGCAGCCTGCACCCCTCCCTCACCTGGCCATCCTGAGCTGACTTCTCTGCAGCAGTCAGAACCTGCCTGGTTGATTTAGAATGGGCATGAATGCACCAAACCTGACAGCTATGACTGCAGAAGGGAAGAGCACAGACAGAGCTCCTCATTCTCCACTGCCACCCATGAACTGGAGATCCCCATGGAAGACCCCCAACTGAAGACGACCAAGTGACGGTACCAACTGAGGGCACAAAACCAAGGCAGCCAATGAGGGCAGCCACTGAAGGCCTCCAGGCGAAGGCCGGTTGACCTGCCAACCAGACTGTTTCCTGGTTAAGAGGAAGCAATCTTGCCCAGGGCACCTCCATACTTCCCTTCAGAGTCAGAACTTCAAGGAGTAGGTACAAGCCTCACTATGCCCTGCCCTGCCTGCGGTCCCGCCCCACCTTTCACTCATTGCTGGCTGCTGGGAGCTTTCAGATTTCTCACTGTGCTGACGTTCCTAGGGATCATCACCTTACAATGAATGATGCTAAAATTACTGAAACAAAATCTGCCTCATGCACTAGCTGGGATTCATAGAACCTCCTTTCCCCCATTATCTCTGAGCTCTCTAGAAACTGGAAAATGACAGAGTTCTGCAT